GTTCAAACACTGTTGTATAGAGATAACCATCCAGACTGATCTCAATACACACATTCAAAACTGATTTAAAGTTGCGCTGTGTCTCAAATCAAAATATTACTGCACTTTTTTTTTCTTTACTCAGTCAGAGTTTCCCCAAAGCCTGAGATGACCTTGACGGGCGGACTAATCAAGTTTAGCACAGCACTATCTCGCACGATGAAACAAAACTTTCGGATCTCTAATGCGAAAGTTGTGATCTTTTCATCCTCGCTTAACATTTGTTACACTGCAGGGCTGTGGCCAGAGAAATTTTGTGACTGAGGCAATGTCCATGAACAAATTAATATAAAGATTTAGCCAGGCCTAAAGGCCTAAAAGCTCCTTAACACTCAACAAAACTGGAAGTAAATACGTGTAACTGGCCCAAGCGCGGGAAAGCGTTCGTGAGCGCGTCACGATTTGTTTTGGTTTTTCCTCTGATTGGTTGAGAATGTGGTTCGAAGTTTCTACACCAATCACTAAGCTTACTAATGCAACACCAAGGAAAATCCAAACACGTTCATTCTCAGTAAATGCATTATTTTCCGGGTATAGAAGACATAATATTAATCATTATTCTTTTATTGCCTTTAAACTCACATATCCCATATCCAGTCCCTTCAGCTTTTAGTAATAGTAACTGGACCGAGTGGAGTACAATTCAGGGAGAAATCGCGCGAGTAATTTCAAAATCGGACGAGCGCGAAGCACGAGGCCGATTTGACATTACGAGCACGATTTCTCCTTGAATTCAGTGTACGACACGAGGTCAATTACTAATTAATCGTATCTATGACAAATTTCGGAATTAAAAGTGTCTTTTGAGCTCTAAAATGTCTTTTAATTATGTTTTTTAATCGTATCTATAACAAAATTCTCGATCGTGGTTGGTTCCCCGAGCTCCTAATTGATACGTAATCGGCGCGCGATCACGTGGGTGCCCAATGCAGGTATCCAATTTGAACTTTTTGTAATTGGATACCACGTGACTCGCTGGAACTTGTAATCAAATGACGCCATCATGCAAAACGCCTCTTGCTATTACTTATGCAAATTTGCGTCAGTCAGCAAAAAATTAGAATATCAGTAACAGGAAATTGAAAGTTAAAGGTAAAACTCTGGATAGTCCCAATGCAGAGTGTATTTTTGAACGACGTTCGCTCAGATCACACCAAGGAATGTACTACACTTGATTGAGTCTTCTCCTACTCTGGATACGNGTAATCAAATGACGCCATCATGCAAAACGCCTCTTGCTATTACTTATGCAAATTTGCGTCAGTCAGCAAAAAATTAGAATATCAGTAACAGGAAATTGAAAGTTAAAGGTAAAACTCTGGATAGTCCCAATGCAGAGTGTATTTTTGAACGACGTTCGCTCAGATCACACCAAGGAATGTACTACACTTGATTGAGTCTTCTCCTACTCTGGATACGCATTATTCAAGAAGACTGAGTGACGCGATTACAGAGTGAAGTGGCACGATTACGGGTTTGTTTTACCTAGTTAGTTCATGCGCATTCTGTCTTTGTAATGCAGATCGACGACCGTATTCGAGAAACAGTTTCACTATTTTCGAATGATGTCAGCGAGAATCACTAATTCTTTCAAGCCAACGGGATGAACGAAGATCGAAAACCAGTAAACTTATGTAGTTCGAAAAATTGTGTGTTCATCACTGAAAATCTCCGACCTTGTCAAATTTATAGGATGAAGAAAACGTTTACTAAGCACTGTTGGCTGATACGGGATTTGGCATATGGTGTTAAGATTCGGCTTTACCAATTCTAAAACATAGGCTGGTGCAATCTCTTGTATTACGAGAACTGAAATAGCAACGTTTTAAAGGACGTCTGATGTGTGTAATCCGCAGGTATTCGTCTTCTTATTCATTTTACCGGTTATCTTACTCCCGTTTGTGGGATTCAAACAACGACTTTCCAGCATGCTGATGAGTTCACTTTAGTTCCTCTTTAACTTGTGAATTACTTGTCAAAATACAGGTTTATCGATGATTTAATTGTTTTTCTTCAAATTGACTGTAGACTGAGTCTTAGCGCTAGTTCGACGAAAAACTTGCCAAACACCATACGAAACTCGGTAGAAGAGGAACTCACCGCCGACAATTTAGTGAGAGCTATATCTTTACAGGCTCAACAGTATGATACTATAGGCATTCCAGTAAGAAGGAGTTTTTCGTGAGGCGTCGATTATAGACCACTTAGTTCACAAGCAGACAGAACAAGGAGTTAGCCTTTATATCGACAACTTGCATTGTGTGCCGTGTCCTACAGTGATTTAGCTGTCGTTTGCTTGAGTGCACCAGTATTAATTATTCAGCAAGCTAAAATAAGTGTAAAGTTTGGTTTGAAAAAACGCTTTTAATGATATGCTTAGTATTTTAGTTACATTATTTGTAGCTACTAACCGAGTTAATCATTAAGTGCAAGAAGTCATCAGTGATAT